TTTTACAAATTATGCATACAGATCCAATGGAGACGAAAGGTAGGAAATTTTTAGAGGAAGCAAAAAAATCAATAAACTACCAGTAACGGTCGAATTCTGAGGCTGCCACGTGTTGACGGCTTCTCTTCGAAATTCATAAAATTGGGCCAAGTTGGCCCATTCCGTTAGTGGATCTCGCAAATAAGCCCATTATGTAAAAACAAAAACAATTGACGATGAGATTCAATTGGAAAGTGAGTACGCACGTGTCGAGGAAGCTCCATGCAAATCTGACACGCATGTTCCTTTGCCACGTGTCTCATTTAGACTGTCCGTTTATATCATCGTCAATTTCTCCATAATTGAGAAGGAAAACAAAACAGATAATCTGATTAGAAGAAGAAACAGAGAGAAAATGGCGGATCATCATCGACCAATGAATCGTAATCTCCACGAATCGTCATCGTCGTCACCATCGACTCGGCAGATAGTGAGATTCCTAACGGCAGCGACGATCGGTCTGTCATTGTTGTTGCTTTCGGGACTAACGCTCACTGGAACGGTGATCGGATTGATCGTTGCGACGCCATTGATGGTTCTGTTCAGCCCGGTGCTGGTGCCTGCGGTGATAACGACGGGGCTTTTGACGGTGGGATTCTTGTTTTCAGGTGGATGTGGGGTTGCGGCAGCGACGGCGTTATCGTGGATATACAGATATGTCACCGGAAAACATCCTATCGGAGCTGAAAAAGTTGATTACGCGAGAATGATGATTTCGGAGAAAGCTAAAGAGTTGGGACATTATGCTCATCCGCAATCGCAAACAACACACCAAACCACAACACCTGATTATTGATTAAACTTTAGTTTATAATAATGATGTGATCTGCATATAGTATATATATGGATCCATGCACACTTTTTGTTAAATTTTGTTAATTATTATTAGGCCATCTGATTAGGCCCATTGTAAACATAGCCTTATAACTACAATTAGGTCTATGTAATCTCATATATAAAGTGTAATCCTCACAATTTGATGAATAAGAAAACCTTTTACAACTACTAAGGTTTCTTGACATGGTATCAGAGCATTAAACCTAATTCTAAAGGTTTTCTGGTTTCGATTTTTCTTAATTTTTTCTATCTTTGACCTAAAGCTTCTTGACTATTCTATCAAAAGCTTATTCTAAATGTCGATGGAAGACTCCGCAACCGTCCTCTCGGGAAAATCTCAATCTCGTATTGAGATCACACGAAGA